CTTTTCCTCCTCCCTTATGCAATCATCTAGTTCACGTGATATCTCACGTGAACTGGTTCACGTGAGATATCATCCCATGAAGCAGTCTGGTCATCTCAAGACAAACCTTCCAAGCTTAGTCCTTAGAAAGAACCTGGCCTTACAAGAACATGGACTGATTTTACCAGTCAGATCTATTTGGGTGAGCCTGGGGTGAGTCACTCTCCCGGTTTCTCTAAGTCCTAGTTCCCTTATCAATTAAATTAAAAATAGGACAAAACGATGTTTTACAAGGCAACTGTGTGGTTCTGCATTTTTCAGGCAACATCAATATTATGCAGAATGGATCCAAAACAAACAGGGATGCTGCACCCTTTCCACGTGCCCAGTGTAGAAGAACTGGTCTGGAAGATACATACATGGAGAAATTGGGATGGGGGAAGAGGAAGGCTTGTGTCCCTTCCACTTGTGGCTTTTCTTGTTATAATACATATATGCAAATGCACACTTCTCTGGTTGTGCTTTCTGAGCACGTGGCTTCTGCCCTTCACCTTGGCCAGGTTGAATGTACTACCCTCTGCAGTCTTGTGAGGGTGATGTAAAAGCATTCCACTTCAGCAGCGTTTATGTCCATGTGCAGATAGCTCTATGGAGTCCCTAAGCCAAATACTCCTTTGTTGCTCTCTTCATAGGGAATCTAAGAAACATCATTATTATTCCATTTTAAAGAACTACCATGGAAGAGAGCAAGATGCTTATCTGTCACTTCTTCTGTCTGACTGGTATATCTTTCCAGGTTGCCCAACATGGTGTCACTATTAGTTCTAACTGTCCAACTTACTGCTGAAGACTAGTACAAATTTGAGTGATTTCAACCATTATCTGTAGCACTGCTACTAAATTAATTTATTTGCATGTAATTTTATTGCATTTTATGCCTACTCTTCAGTTTTAATAATAATTATAGGCATGTATATTTTATTGGATTGTTTTCTGTCCTAAAGGTTTTGATGGAGCATGTGACTTTGGGAAACAAGCTTGCTGATCTGTATCATTTAAACTACTTTCTCATGATTGTTAGGATAAGAAATAAGGAAACATCAATAATGCCCGCCTCCAATCTCCATATTCTACAGCTAATCCTGCCACATATCCATCCATGCCAATTTGTATAATTCTCAAATGAAACAAATCATATTCTCTTGCCAGTACAACTCTGCAATTTGTATATAACTTAAGAAAGAAATCCTAGGACACCTGTAGGTTCCTTGGAGGCTAAACCATTTTCTGCATAAAGAAATATCTTGCCAAAAGGCCATTTCAAGTGGAATGGTCCTTTAGAATAGCCATCCCCATAGCAAACTCTAGGTATCCAGGTAGTCTTCGACTTACAACAGTTCATTTAGTGTCCATTTCAAAGTTACAATGGCACTTGTGACTTATGAGTGTTTTTTCCCCTCAACCATTGCATCATCGCCATAGTCATGTGATCAAAAGTCAGACACTTGGCAACTTGTCTCATATTTATGACACAGTGTCTTGGGGTCATGTGATGACCTTTTGTGACTTTCTAATCAGTTAAGTCAATGGGGAAGCCAGACTCACTTAACAACTGTGTTACTAACTGAACAACTGCGGTGATTCAGTTAACAACTGTGGCAAGAAAGGTCATAAAATGGAGAAAACTCATTTAGCAACAGAAAGTTTGGGCTTCAATGTGGTTGTAAAATCGATGAGTACTTGTACAACAACCTGCAATTCCCAATCACCATAATTATGTGAGATAGGAATTCTAAGAGTTGAAGTGCGATCACATCTGGAGAAGGATAAGTTTAGAAAGTTGCTCTACTATATAAAGTTAAGCACCCACATGGGCCAGGTCAATTAGTAAATTGTAAAGTTATCTCAATGTTGCTGTAATATCTTGGCACGAACCTGTGGATAAAGAGCTTTCACAGTGCTATGGCAGCAGGTTCAAATCCAGCAAAGAGTTATAAGTACATGAGCCTCTTGTAAGCATTTCTGAGGCAACTACAGATAATTGATTCTTAAATAAGAGATGTAATTTGCAGAGATACCTGCAAAAGAGACATGCCATATATGTCAGGGCATGTTTCTATGCAGAATCCTGCAAGTATTTTTGAGATGTATGTCTCTTCAAGAACCATATGGGGTTATACATGAAAGCCGATATATGCTCTGTAATGGCCCCAAAGAGCAAGATAAGGCCGCCTTAACCAAATTCAAAGAAGCTGAGCTGTTACGAGAAAAAGATCTTTGAAGTTCGTCAATGCAATTATAAGCTGGTTTACTCACCATGAAGCCCTACTAAGATTAAGGGAGCTGTCTTCTACGAATTAAGAGCGTTAACCCATCTTTCCCAATGTTGCTTTCATTAATTGGGAGAAAGCCCTTCAAGCTTAATGGCAGGAGAACATTTTCCAGGCGCACCTTCTGATGTCAGGAATCCAACCAAGCTCCATCAGCAACCAAAGCAAGTAGTCCAGCCTAAACTACAACCCTGTTCACAATGTACGCTGAGAAAGGCAGACCAAGAGTCAAGCTTATTCAATCCCATTTTGTTCAGGGAGCCACATCCCAAAAGTACATTGGCACAGGATTGCAGTCAAACATTTCTTTTCTATTCATTTTCCATAAGGATGAAAGTCCATTAAAACCCATTGGACTTATTCCTGAGTCAATGATCAAGGTTTGGATTGTTAAATGTTACACATTGTGAAAAGACAATTAGCCTTACAAAATTATGTGATTAAAAAGAGAATGTTATCTCCATGCAAGTGCATACATATACACCAAACAATATATAACATGCATCTCTCTCTCCCTCCCTCCCTCCCTCCCTCTTTCTCTCTCCCTCCCTCCGTCCCTCCATCCCCCCTCCCTCTCTCTCTCCCCCTCCCCCTCATACAATCATTACTGTGGTCCTTTTAGGCAAATATTCTGCCCTGCACTTCTATTAAATGTAACAATGCCTGGAATTCTATGGGACATAAGTTCTTAGATTCATAGAAATTGGGAACTAGGAAGCATATCAGAAGCAACAGAAGGAGAAAAATCCAACTTAGAGTTTTCTACTATGCCTGGAACCATGGTGCACAATGCACAGGCAAACTCTACAAATAAATGTAGTACAAGCTATATTTGTACAACGATCCATCATGGGGATACTATTGCATGAAAGCAACGAAACCTTGCACTCATTAAAGGCCAAGCAAGTGCACTATGGAAATTCTGTATGCATGCAGACATGTGCACACACAACATGTGCTCCTGCACCCAAGAAGCCAGAGGGAGGCAATGCTAGCTTGCATGAGCTTTGCCGCAAATGAGAGCCTAGCCAGAAGGGGTAAGTGGCTCTGAGAATCAAATGAGTGCTTGCTCTCAAAGAGCTTATGACAGTCACTGCTCATATGTAGGTGAAGGGGATGGCGGACCTCATGACTACACCCATTCAGCAATAGGCAGGCATACTGCAAATTTGGGCTTGTGTGAAAGCTATGCCAGCACACACACACGGGCAATTCCAATTTGTAATGCCATAGGCAGGATGGAAATACAGAAATCTGACACAACTGTTCTCTGTTACTGTATCTGCTGCTTCTGAAATAATTTTTTTTTTTAAAAAAAACTGATTTCTGTATTTTACAAGGATAATTAAGGGAGGCGAAAGAAGGGCATAAATATGAAGGGGGACAAATCAGAGGAAATCATAAATAAGGGGTACAGAAGCCACTGAAGACCCAATTGTATATCCGAATGGGTAAGAGGGTATTGACACATATTCTGTTTTATTACCCAGAGGACTAGGAACCTGCATTCCTATTTTGTATGAAAACTGAGATTACCAGGATACAAGTGTGTGCCCTTGTACAGTGAAATTAGAAATGCACACATTGGGATACAGAAAAGTATAGCTCCATCTGTAAGGATATAAATATGTGGACTCCCAGTTTTACAAACTCATTTATTCATATGCACATTAAGGTGGGATTCAAATACATTTCAACTGCTGTCACCCCATCATGCAGACCAGTTTAGCCTACAAAACTCTTATTGCCTCTTCATCTATTCACAACCTCAAGTGCATATGCACCAAGACAGAGAGAGAAAAATAGCCCCACAAAGGTTGGATCATTGAAAATGTGCAAAACATGCATGCATGAGTGCTAAAAAAAGGTATCTGGACACATACATGGGTGGTGCAGGAAAAGCCATTTGCACACATCAGGCAAAAAGGAGGCAGGCACTGTCACACTTACTGATTAAGCTTTTATGGAGGAGAGCTCACATAATGATGCCCATAATGATATACAGAAATAAAGACACACATAGGAAGCGGGATGCATGCACATTGTAAAACAAACAGAAAATCTCTTCTTCAGGTGTCCTTTCCCAGTGTCGGTCTCAAGCACATTACTACAGACACGCCAAAATGTGTGCATGCTCACACATATACTCACTGAGGCTCCTAAGCCCAGCCTGCGCACGTGCACCTGTGCATTTCCACATGCCTGTGCAAACATACACATATGGAGAACACATGTCCACCACACACCCCGATATCTTGGAAGCTCCAACACCCTAGCTTTTGGCGACCCCATGCCAAAAGTGAGGTTGTAAAAGAAAAAGAAAAAAACCTTCACGACGCTGTCATTCAGGCAAACCCCTTTTCTCCTTTACCAGGGTCCCGTAGAAGCTTTCCCGCTCTAAAAGTTCACCACGGGAGCCCCCACCTTGCTAGGAAGGGGGCGTGGCAGGGGCCACGGCGGTGGCCCACGCGGTGGCTCCGGTGTCACCTCCAGCCAGGACCGCACCTTCCCTGCCCCGAGTCACGATCAGGAGGCATGTTTCCGTCGTGGGAACTCCGAGCTCCTCTTCCAACCACTAGGGTTTGCTGACATTTTGACACCCCCGCAGAAAAACCGATTCCTCCACCCAACTCCCGCATGCACCTCCCAGAGCAAGCCGCGCACCTCCCTGGCCCTAAGCGCTCCCATTACCTGCCACGGATAGGAGCCGCTCAGCACATGTTCTTCTCGGGGGGGACCCACCGGCTGGTCCCCCCCCGCCCTTTATCCACCGCCTTCTCTCTTCGCCCGGTGGTGTCCTTGCGGTCCTGTACGGAGGCAGGTGGGCGGGGAGGGAGCGGAGGTCCAGTGATTTCCTCTGGGAAAGAAGGGGCGGAGGCGCAGCCAAGCTAAAGGAGGAGGGGGGCGCGCGTCAGGCTTCCATGGCGGCGCCCCTTAGCCGTGGACGAGCAGCTCAGTCTCCTAGGGCTGCGCTGCTGCCAGCCTCTCCCTCCCTTCAACCCCGCCTCCCCTCCCAGCCCGGGAAGGAGCCTCTCCGATCAATCGCTCGCCCGCCCCGCCCCGCCCCCTCCTCCTCGCTCGCTCGCTCGCTCGCTTTCTGCTGTTGAGGAATGCAGCGCTTCGCCCAGCCCCCTCCCCAGACTCATTCATAGCGTCACATGGATCCGAGGGTGGTTGGGGTGCGGAGTGAGGGGGGTGGGTGGGAGAAGGCCCACTCAAGCTTCGGACACCCGCCCGGACCCCGCCTCAGCCCCCCACCACCTCCCATTTCCTCCTGCGCTACGACCGACCCCTTTCTTGTTCTACCTTAGCTCTTCGTTTCTCCCCTCCCCTTCTTTTAAAAGCCTGGACGTTCAGCGCCCCCTTTCCTTTGCGTCCTCGAGAACGATCAACTTCATTTACGTCTCTGTCCGTTTTGCGCTCTCTTCAGATTCCTGACAAAGCGTTTCAAAAAAAAAAAAGAAGAAGAAGAAGAAGAAGCCCCGAAGGAATCTTCTCTATCTCCAGCAGCAGCAGCAATCCAACTTCATCGGTTTTCATAGGGGAGGCTTCCAAGAGGATTGGCTCTCTTCTCTTGTACTCTTTATGTTTTTTCCATTCCATGCGTTACATCTCCCATTTAAAAACTCACTCATGTTTGTACTTTTGATGTTTGGTTGCAGCATTCACACTGAGCGCTCAGTCTTAACTTGTATTGTGCACCCCCAGATGGTATATCTTAGCCTTGTATATCTGTCCTGCCCTCTTGGTTGGGGTTCAATTGTGGCACCTGGGATAAAGATCTGTATGAGGAACCAACTTTACAATAGTCCTTCACCTACAACCAATATTGAGCCCAAACGTTATGCTGCTGAATGAGACAGTTAAGAGAATTTTGCCCCATTTTACGACCCTTCTCACCAAAATTGTTAAGTGAAGGTGGCTTCTCTGTTGAGTTGTCAGAAGATTGCAAATGGTATTCACATGACTAGGACCCTGCAGCCATCACTAAATATCATTCAGTTGCCAAGTATAGTCACTTTTTTCAGTGCCGTTGTAACTTTGAATGATCATTAAATGAACTGTTGTAAGTCAAGGACCAGCGATGAAATCCGGCCGGATCTATCTGGCTCGCGTGAACGGGTAGCGCCGGGGGCGGGAGGCTCCGGCCACCACCGGGATATCATTAGGTCGTTTTTGGCCCTCTGCGCATGCACGAAGAGGTGCGCACAGTCACACTCCCGAACCGGTAGTGAAAGTAAGTGCATTTCACCGCTGTCAAGGACTACCTGTATATGTTTCACTTCATTATGTATCCCTGAATTCAGCAATCAGAAATAATATTTAGAATAGAATTTACACAACAGCTTTATTTATTGTGTAGAATCATGCTTTAATCATGTTGTTTGAATAAACCACATGGTTGACACAGCATATTAAGGCAGGCTGGGCTATCTGTGATCTATAGAGTCTAGTCATATTTTTGTGACGCACAAACTCCAGCAAGACTAAGCCAGCAAACTGTGAAATAATAGCTGCTCAATTTTAAGCTATGTACTCATTTTGTAAAATATAGTGTCCCTGACTATTGAAATGCAGCTCCTGGCTGCCAAGTCATTCCTGTACCCTAAACCATAATTCACAGTTATAATCCAAAAAGTTTAGACTTGCCCAATACAACTCAATGCATCACCATATGGCAAATCGTGTAACCCAAATTCATGTACTAACAACAAGCTGTAGCAACAGTAAATTGTTGCTTATCCATGCACAATGCTCACTATTTGCCCTAAAACTTTGGAAAACTAGTACAACCTGGGTTAGTCAAAGAGGTAAGAAGAATTAAATATGTGTGACACCACACTATCAACCTTTGGTTAACTGATACTGCTATGCATGTCTGTCTGCTTGGCATTATTGCCTAATAATTGTAGAATTTTAGGAGATCTATAGTTTCATACCAACGCTCCCACACATATATCTTTACACAGAGAGATTTATATTGAATTACTCATTTCTACATTGTACGTGTTCTAATGTATTTTAACTGATTTGATTTTAATTCTGTTATTGTTAAAGCAATGAAAAGGGGCAATAGAAATAGATATATTTCTATATATCGTATAGCAACAATGGATTTTTTTAAGAACATGGAAAATACATAATTATATATGGCACTGGCTGGATAGATATAATTTGATATAAGATCAGAAAGGGAGAAACTCTGGCTCACAAGCCCATAGGGGTGATCCACCCTCATTTTAAAGCATTCAGAATTTAACAAAAAATGAAAATAGGTACGTTAAACCTCTACGGGAGGAAAAGCATGTCTCAATCCCCATTTGAAGCTGCTTAAAATAAAAAACCAAATTTTATATTCCAACACATCGACGTAACACCCCGCATGAAAAGGAAATGGCAACCCTGTAGTGATAGTCTATATTAATGAGAGATTGATAAAAAATAAGCCATAGATATCTTCTGAACTGTGTTTCAACTTCTTCAAGTTTGACATTTCCTGTATTTCTTTTGGGGGCTCAGGCAAGATCTGCTAGGTTCTACCACCTAATTGGTCTTTCCCAGCTAGATACACTATTTAAAACGTGTCAATTTATACTACTATCCTATTAAAGATATAGTATTACTATACTGTGTATTTTGACTCATGCATACTGTGTACTATAAATCAGCGGTCACCAACTGGTGGTCCGTGGACCACTGGTGGTCCATGAGAAAATTTTGATGGTCCGCAGAAAAATTATTTGCATTTTTTATATTGCACTAAATCAGGGGTCCTCAAACTACAGCCCCTGGGCCGGATACATGCATTGAATGTTTATGTTGCTGCAGAGAGTCTCCCCCTTCGGGGTCTTTTTGTGTTGGGCAGAGGGGGGCAGAAATTCCAACGTGGGGTCTGCTTCAGCCTCCTGGTGCTGGGCTTTGGGCGAAGGCTGAAGGGAAGCGCCACTGGTGATGAAGAGCCAGAGGACCTTGTTTTGACTGACTATCTCAGCCCGCTGAGCCTCCAGGGGCCAGTACCTGGCCTTACACTCCCACAGGTCTTCCCTCTGCTTGGAAAGCCTATGATCATAGTCCTCAGTGAGGTGCTTCTGCTGAGCCTCCTTTTCAGTCAGATCCAATTTGAACTGATTTGCCAACTCTTTCTCGTGGTAGCTGCTCAGCTCCAACAACTGCTTCCTGTTGGGGCCCTAAGGAGCCCGGCCGGGCAGGCGAGGTTTGGCTGAGAGAGGAGGAGCGAGTAGAGACCAGCGAGGTACCCCTCAACGTGAGTGATATCGAGTTGGCCACGCTCACCCAGTCACATGACCACCTAGCCATGCCCACCCAGCCGGTCATTAGGCAGATCATATTAGTGGTCTGTGGGATTTAAAATTATGAATTTAGTGGTCCCTGAGGTCCAAAAGGTTGGTGATCCCTGCTATAAATAGTATAAATGTACTATTCATAGGTAAAGGAAAGGTAAAGGTTCCCCTCAAACATACGTATGTCCTAGTCATTCCTGACTCTAGGGGGCAGTGTTCATCTCCGTTTCAAAGCCAAAGAGCCAGCGCTGTCTGAAGATGTCTCCGTGGTCATGTGGCCGGCATGGCTAAATGCCAAAGGCACATGGATGCTGTTATCTTCCCACCAAAGGTGGTCTCTATTTTTCTACTTGCTTTCGAACTGCTAGGTTGGCAGAAGCTGGGACAAGTAACTGGAGCTCACACCGTTATGCAGCACTAGGGATTCAAACCACTGAACTGCCAACCTTTTGATCGACAAGCTCAGCGTCTTAGCCACTGAGCCACCCTGTCCCTTACTATTCATACTATGCATTTAATAATAGCTTATTAAAGCTATTAAATGTCCAGTTTGTTTGTTTTTAATCCTTGGTGCAGTGTACAATCCTTTTAAAATGCAGGGCTTTATTAAAAACCACATGTGTTCAGGAAGAACATTGCCTGCTCCCTCTTTCTCTTGTTCTTTCTCGTAGGACAGATACCACGAAAGGGATTGAGTAGAAGGAACAATCTGGCTAAAAAAAAGAGGTTTGACCCTTCAGATATTGCTGTACTACAACTTAGAAAGGCTTATCCAGAATGGCCAACGCCTAAAGATGTTGGGAGTTATAGTTCAGTGGCAGTATGAGACTGCAAGTTTACCATTCCTGCAACAGAAGTGCTGGTGTTTGCTGTAAATGTAATTAGATACATTTATAATGCCATGTCTTGTAATTCGATATGTTTTGATACATGAACACTCAGGGAAGAATGGAATATGTAATGGGATATGTATGGAACCAACAACAGTTATCATTATGTCTGTATGAATCATCATGCGTTTTGTCTGGTTCAGTTGGTTATTTTGGAGATTCTACAATATAATGTTGCATACTATTATTCCTGGAATAGGGACAAGGGGTTTTGTAAAATCCGTTTTGAAATGTGCAATTTTGTATGTTTAAATAATATGGACATCTCATTATTTCAGATTTTAATTGAAAAAAGTGCCACCTAGTACAGTCCAAAGACTTGTACTATAAGACAGGCAGCATAAAATATTCCTCAACAAATTCAATGTTTTAGAAATATTTCTTATTATTTTTGAGATCTGGTTTACTGTAGGTGCCTAGAACTGTGAACCCCAAAGTATGCACTTTAGAATAAATTCATTTAGTTTATCTGCTAGTTTCTGACCAACCTTTCTCACCCAGTGCAATTGAGAAACCTTGTCTTTTTTGCCGGACAGTTCTAATTATATTTTAGATGATGACATATAGTAGATGTGGACAGACATCAAATTTATGAAATATATTCTTAGAACTCTGAAGTTCAATAATGTTGAATCTTGGTATCACACAGAATAAAACCCAATACAACCTGTCGATCTAAGAATAAATCAAGTTCTTTTCTGGATCCAGTGAACTGTGTCCTGCATGTACAAGTCCAAACAAAATCAGATATGATACATCTGACTGGATTCACCAAATAGATTTGTTGAGTCAACAACTGCTAAATCAGGGGTTTTTAATTTTGGCAA